ATAAAATAAACAAACAAATAAATAAATAAATGTTGATAAATTTGAAACTTAGGAAAAATCTCCTATACTGACATATCTGACCAAACTGATCTTAAGTTGGATAAAATCTTATTTTAATTACAACCACAACCCAAATTGAGGAACATTCAATAATAATAATAATAATAATAATAACATCAACAACAACAGTTATAATGGCCTGTACTTTTCAAAATGTCACGATTATGAAAGACAGAAAGAACAAGGAACTGTTCCTTCAGAATTGGAGTAAATTGAAGAGATATGACTACTAAGTGCAATAAATGATTCTCAAGTAGACCTTAAACCAGAAAAAAAAATTTTTTTCTTTTGTTTTAAAGGACATTTCTGAGACAACTAGCAAACCAGACTAAAGCCTTTAGATTACATAATGGTACTATAACAATATTCATTTCCTGAATCTGACTATTGTACTGTGGTTATAGTATTTATAATCTTAAATATTGATTAAGGAAACTAATAAAATTAGTGGGTTAAAAATTGGTCTTAAAAGTCTGTAATAAGAACACCGGAGTAAACCCAGAGAAATATAAAACAAAGAAAATAGTAAAGAACAAAAATAAATAGACACACAATACAGAAGATCAAAATTAACTGGCTGACTATTCTGTGTATCAGTTAGCCGTCATCAAAATAATGTTACATGATACAGATTAGGTTCCTGGGAAACAGACCTTGAGATGGAGATTTGCGTGCTGGAAATTTATTAGGGAGGACCCCTGGGTAGGTACTTGGAGGACTGAATAGAGGGAGAAGGTGGACTCTGGAAGGAAGGCCTCAGCTGACTCCATAGGTTGCTCTGAAGAGTTGTCCCAAGTCAGTGTGGAGGTCTAGGCCTTGACATTCCTGAATCACTGGTTGCAGGCTGTCCTAAGAAGAGAGCATGGCCTTGGGTGATGAATCTCTCTTAAATTGAGATCATTTCAAAGAGGACCAACAGCTGAGGACTATCTGTTCACAGTACTTCTAGCACTGGCTAAGTAAGTTCTTTATTTTCAAAGGGAAAACACAGTATTCATTAAACTGCCCAGAATTTCAATGGCTTACAACAACAAGCATTGATTTTTTTGGTACACTCTTTGTCTAGGATTCGGCTGAACTAGACTGGGCTGATATAGGTGCCAAGCTACAGGTTGTGACCAGATCTCCTTCATGGGTCTTCTTCTGTTGACCAAAGTCAGTAGCACAAGAGGGCCAGTCCAAATGTAAAAACACATTCAGGGCTCAGTTGAATCACATGTCTAAACATCCTGTTGGCCAGTCAAGTCACATGTCCAGGTCCAACTTCAATGGAGTAGAAGAATTCCCTCCAATGGAGGTCCAGGGGAGAAGCGAATATTTGCTAAAGAATAACCCAGTCTACCATAGTGTGATTCTGCTTAATGAACAAAAGATGAGAATTTCACTGCCAGGATTTAATTGTCAGTCCTTCTCTTAAAATATTTCTATTTGTCATCTCCATCTGTTATAAATGAGATGAAATGTGACAACACCTTCAGTGCTATTAGGCAGAGAAAACAGCTTGTTCTTATGATCTTTAAAATATATATTTGAATGGATCTTGTATGTTATTTGTATAGCTATTGAAAAGATGGCAACTTTGTATTTATCTGAAGACTCAGTTTTTTTATGTTTAGTTTTTAAGTTCTCTTATTTTAAACTAAGCTATATATAAAGTGTATTAAGTATCATATATTTTAGGTACACAACTTATACATTTTTACATATATATACATGTAACCACCAGGTGTAGGTTAAAAAAAACACACCATCCTGAATCCCGAAAAGGTTTCTCACGCCCCTCTCCTATCAGTGTCCCCCACTTCCCTTCTGAAGTAATAACTGTCATACTTACCTCACTATCAGTTAATTGTTACTTTTCTCGAAGTCCATATAAATGGAATCAGCCAGTATGTTCTCTAGTATGTATGAATACATTTTCAGTGTAAGATTAGGCAATAAAAGTCCATTAAAAAAACGCTATGCTGGAGGGGGTCAATGGGAAAAAAGGGGGATACTTATAATACTTTCAACAATAAAGATAAATTTTAAAAAAGAAACTGTTATCTGTGCCAGAAAGATGGAGTTAATAATAGGAACTCCAAGGAAATAATATGATCTGCTTTCCTTTGTGAAGTTAGTTATCGATTTCAATAGAATTGTTCCCTAGGAATTCCACAGTGCCTGTGCCTGATGGGAATGTACATATTTATTTTGTACATATACTGATTATTATTGCACTCTCTTCTAAGCTGTGGAATAAATGTGGGCTTTGGAGGTTTCATAGCTCCTGGTGAGCTTTGAATGGGTGAGTCTGCCCCATTCTTTCCATTTGAGTTTTGGCACAATACAGGAACTAGTCTTCCAAAAGCAAATGCTAACTTCACAGTTTAGTAACACAAACACTCTGTTATCAATTGAGATTTTAGTTATAACCACTTAGAAAGGTTGAGAAAGTACTTTGGTTCTTTGAAATCTTCTTAGGTAATAGCTCATTATCAGTTTTAAAAGTGACTATAAGAAGAGCATTTTCATTCATCTAATGTGAACAAGAGACAGAAAATCCATTTATGCTTTGAGTGGTTGATATAATATCAGCTGAGAAAAACTCATTTAATTCTGTCATTTCTGGTTTCATAGCACTCGTTAATTATAAAAATTACTTCTACCTCCTAAGGAATCTCAGCAACATAATTAATTTGTATAATTATTGATTTTGAATACCATTTAATCTTTTTTAGTTTTGTTATTCATTATAAATACTAGAGGCTTGGTGCACCAAATTCATGCACTTGGGGTGGGAGGGAAGGTCCTTCAGCTCGGCCTGTGCCCTCTCAGTCTGGGAGCCATAAATGGTATTTTAAAAACTCCTATATAATAAAAGGCTAATATGCAAATCGAAGAGAAAGGGAGAGAGAGAGAGAGAGAGAAACATCAATGATGAGAGTCAGCATTGGCTGCTTCCTGTACTTCCCCTTCTGGGGATTAAGCCTGAAATCCAGGCATGTGCCCGAAGGGGAATTGAACCATGGCCTCTTGGTTCATGAGTCGACATTCAACCACTATCTTTCTTTTTCTTTTTTTGCAGTTGTGAATGGGATTGTTTCTAAAGTTCTCTTTCTGATTATTCTTTATATAATCTATATAATAAAGAGATAATATGCAAATAGTCCATCATGGCATCACAGTAATGACCGTTCAACAGGCTGCGCGTGCAGTAGGCGTACTCACATGAGGCTCGCTTCCCTGCCCCTGGGCATGGGCCGGGGAAGTGAGGCTGCATCCCTGGCCTGGCGCCAGAGTCCTCTTTTTCTCCCAGGTGCAAGCACCCAACAAACCCCCCATGACACCATGCCCTGCCCAAGAGCACTCTGCCCGGAATGCCACTAACCCCCCACCCCTGAAGTGTGTGTGTGTGGGGGGGGGGGGGCGAGGGACAGCACCCACATGGCAGGAGGCCATGAGGCCGGTTCTAGGGTTGTGGTCAGCAGACAACAACCAGGGGGGTGTGAGCATCAGGGGTGATTCCCGAGAGAGTGTGGACCCAACATAAAGGAAGGGTCCGGGCACGACAGGGAGTGGATGTCGAGTTAAGGACAAGCCACCCGATAAACAGCGTGGGAATCCCATGGCCTCAGACACACAGGGCCTCTTCCGGCCGTGCAGGTCTGGCCCTGTCACCGTGGGGGGAAAAAACCACCACGTTTTTCAAAACTTAGAAAAGTTTTGAAGTTTTGGAACCTAGTTTATTCTCTCCTGATAGAAGGAAAATGTTACACCCAAGGTACTTTTTCAAAAAGCCAGTTATATCATTGTAAACTATATTTTCTCCTTTCAAATTATTCTTCAGATATCTCTTCCTTGAAATATATATCTCTTAAAAATCTCAACCAAGTTAACTCTTAACATGGATAAGTATTTTGTTTGTTTGTTTCTTTGTTTTATATAGATGTATAATTTTGTTTTGTCTTACTATTATTCTTAGTTCCATTTATTTCTTTTTATTTCTCCTTTCTTAGTCCATCATTTTCTTAATCCAGTCTGAGAAATTTTTTTCTCACTCTCAGACATATGATTTCTCCCCCCCTGGAGATATATATATATATATATATATATATATATATATATATATCTGAAATCAATATATTGATTTCAGAGAGAGATAGAAACATCAGTGATGAAAGAGAATCATTGATCATCTGCCTCCTGCACATCACACACTGGGGACAGAACCTGCATGCCGGGCATGTGCCCTGACTGCGAATCAAACCGTGACTTCCTGGTTCATACATAGATGCTCAACCACTGAGCCACGCTGGCTGGGCAACATGATCTCTTTTTAGGACCTTCTTCAGGAAGGCTGTGCCAGCCTTGTATAGTAGCTGAAGTGACTTTGGCATTTTTAACAGGAAGGATGATAAAACATACAGGATTTCCAATTTAATGCCTGGAGGTCCTGGATATCCATAGTTAGGTTGCTATAACAATTGAATTTATTTTTTTTTTTTAAGGCACAAATCAACATTTTCTTAAAGCAGTAAATGATATTTTATTTTTTTAAATATATTTTATTGATTTTGTATAGAGAGGAAGGGAGAGAGATAGAGAGTTAAAAACATCGAGGAAAGAGTAGTCATCGATCAGCTGCCTCTTGCACACCCCCTACTGGGGATATGCCCGCAACCAAGGTACATTGGTTGACCGGAATCGAACCCAGGACCCTTCAGTCCCCAAGCCGACGCTCTATCCATTGAGCCAAACGGGTCTCGGCAGTAAATGATATTTTAAATAATTGTTTAGTATTCTGTTCAATTTTTTCTTAATTTTGTGAGAAAATACTACCTCAGTATATATGGTTGTTAATTAAGTGCATTATGTACTTCAGTATCTGTTCTTAAATAATCTAGGAAGGTTTGCATTTATGCCTGACCTTTTCTCTCCATTTTGTTTGTTTTCTTTAGTTTCATGCTATGGATACATTATATAGACACAGCTATGACTTGAGCAGTGCAATAAGTGTGTTAGTGCCACTTGGAGGACCTGTTCTATGCAGAGATGAAATGGAAGAATGGTCAGCCTCGGAAGCTACTTTGTTTGAAGAGGCACTGGAAAAATATGGCAAAGACTTCAATGATATACGTCAGGACTTCGTGAGTAGAAAACTGTGAATGATATAAAGGGTTGAGGTTGGGGATATTTTATTTGTTCTAGAAATCTGTGACTCAGTAATTTTTATCTACTCAACATAATAGAATGAAGGCCAGTATTATAAAGGGAGAAATTGAAATTTATTCTGGGAAGTAATTGTGAATAAGGCCCAGGAGTTCTTGCTGTAAACCTTGGCAGTATGAATTCATCCTCTTCACCTTTTTGAGGTCTAAGTTTAAAATATGGACAGATTGTCTAACCATTGGCACTAAATATATCTAAGTCTTGCCTCTGAAGCTTGTTGCCCTCCTTTAGACCTTTAGTGTTTTTCTCGTTGTCTGACTAATTGTTGAGCCTAAAATTTTGGTGTGGACCTTTAATGTGGAAACAACCTATAAAGCAGAGTAGGAGAATTTGCTTGATAGGCTTTTTATCTTTGATTCCTCTTAACGAATATGCAGTATCTAATTTGCCCTTTAAATATTAGTCATTTTCCCTATTATGTAGTTCCTTTTGTCTTTGTGGAATTGCTTTAATTAAGTTTATAGTCTCTTCGAAATGGAGAAATTTCCATTTGAGAAGCCTATAAATAGATTTCTATGGCAGCCATTCTTCATAAAAAATTATGAAAATAGAATCTTTATAGACTATGAAGTATTTAATGCGAGTTAATATCCTGCCTTTTATGTCGTTGAATTTTTGTTTGAATTATTCCTTAAGAAAAATTATTACTATCAATATGGATACATTAAATTCCAAACATGATCATTAAAGCTGTTAATGTCACTAACATCTGTTTTTCTGGCAAAACTTCATTCATAGCCAGATTGTTATATGTCATGATTTCAGTTTATAGGAGGTGCAGGTGAGGATTTAAAATGCATTGGTGGCATTTAGCTTCAGATGGTCAGTATAATGCACCAGTGTGATGTTGTTTATTTATTTATTTATTAAAATATATTTTATTGATTTTTACAGAGAGGAAGAGAGAGGGATAATTTCTAATGATCTGTCTTTTAGTTCACATATTCTTTTTTTTCCTGTTTGATCAAGTCTTGTTGATGTTCTGCATTGTATTTTTCACGTAATTAATTATATTTTTCAGTTTTATAATTTGTTAGGTTCCTTTTCACTTATTCTGTCTCTTTGTTGAACTCATTTTATTTGTATATTGTTTTACTGATTTTATTGCATTGTCTATCTGTACTTTCTTATAACTTATTGAACTTCCTTAAAACAATATTTTTTAAAAATTCTCTTTCAGGCAAATAGTAGATATCCAGTTCTTTGGAGTCAGTAACTAGAAAATTATTGTGTTTCTTTGGTGAAATGTTTCCTTAATTTTTCATGTTCCTCATGGGCTTGTGTTGATGTCTGGATTTGTCAGAGCAGTCATCTCTTCCGTAGTTTGCAGACTGCTTTTGGTGGGGAAAGGCCTTCACCAGCAGGTGGTGCAAGGGCACTGGCTGATTGGGGCCTGATGTCTCCAGCCCCCACGTAGGTCAGGTGGTGTGGTCACATTCAGCTCCATTAGCTGAAGTCAGTGTTGCTAAGGATTGCGGGGGTCCTCATGGTCTTTGCTGTGGTAGTGAGATTATCACAGTCCTCAGTGACAATGGCTGGGGAACCTCCTGATTCTCTTCTCTCAGGGGCTATGTCACAGCCAAGGGATCCCTCCTGGCAATGGGTCTGGCTTCGGAGGGACCTTTGGTGGTATTGGGGTGAGGCATGGACACAGTTGGATCCATCGCGGAGCCAGGAGTGGAGCGTCTATGCTCTCTGAGTGGCAGCAGTGTAGGGTGTGGGTGCTGGCCAGTTTCCACGGCTCTGGTACCTGAGATGTGTGCACATGTGGAACAGCTATGGAGCCGAGGTCTGAAGTACAGGTACATGTGGAGCAGCCAGGACTTTGGGGTCCAGGATATGCACAGAGTTGGAAGTAGGGGCTGGCATCCCTGAGACAGGAATTGGGGCACAGCATTGTCTTCTGGGAGTGACCCAGCAGCATCTCCTAGCGGCAGCAATGGCTGTTGGTTACCTCAGTGTCAAAAGGTGCTAGCTTCCTGCAGAGCAGGCTGCTGTGGTCCATGCCAGCATGCACTGCGGAGTCCTGAGTTGGGAAAGCTGCAGGAATGAGTGGCAAAGGCTGCCGGGCCCTCTGTAGAGCAGGTCACTGGGGACCTCAGTGACACACACCTCCTGGCTTATATTGATAGCCTCCACCTTTCTTCTTTGTACCGAGACATCCATTTTAAGATGTTTCAGCTAAGCCATCTCCACAGTGATCCTTTCTGTGTGGTAATTCATTAATTGCTCCACTGAGTTGCTGTAGGTTCTTGAGTCTTGTGCCCTCTCAGAGCTGTTTTTGTTTGTTGACAGCTATCCATTTACTATTTGTTTTTTTTTGGAATGGGGTGGGGGGTAGGGTGGGAGGCAGACCAAGACTGGTAGCTCCTATTCCTCTATCTTGCTCCCATCCACTTTAAGTTGTCTATCGATAGTTTACTGTCATAAGGCTGTTCAATAGTCTTATTACCCCTTTAAGGCCTTATATGGACATATGAGCTAATGTGTCCTCTCACACTCCAGATGCTGGTGATGTAGCTCTTCTCTCTTTTCCCCTCATCAGTCTGGCTTTAAGGCTTTCTTAATATTATTGATCTTTGCAAAGAAGCAGCTTTTGATTTGATTGACTTTCTGTTTCATTAATTTCTGTTTTTATGTATATTATTTCCTTCCTTCAGCTTGCTTTGAACTAATGTGCTTTGTCTTTTCCTAGTGTCATTTTAAGGTTGAATGTTAAATCATTTATTTGAAACATTTCTTGTAATGCAGTCATTTATTGGTAGCATATGTTTAGGTAGTAATGATTTATTTCAGCCTTTAAAAAGATATTTTATTCATTTTAAGATTCATTTATTTTCTTTCACAATTTTCTAAAGATGTTTATTTGGCTTATGCAGTTTCTAATGAGAAAGTTCCTCTTTATGTAAATGTTTCTTTTTCTTTGTGTTCAAGATTTTTCTTTACTCTTTGGTTTTCAGTAGTGTTACTACTACGTTTTGCCTGGGTGTGTTTTTCTTTGTAATTATTCTACCTGTAGTTCACTTAGTTTCCTAGAGCTGAGATTTTTCTGTTTGTGTGTTAGTTTGCATAATTTGTATTGATTTATCTTCTAGTACACTAATGCTTTTCTTGGCTATATCCAGCAAACTGATTAACTTGTTAAAGGAATTCTTCAAACATGATAGCATGTTTTTCCTCACATGTATACTTCATTCTTTTTTATGCTTTCTCTCTGTGTTTAAATTCGCCATCTGTTTGTGTTATCCACCTTTTCAACTGGATCCTTTGTTATAATTATCATAGTTTAACAGGTTAAGTGCCAAGCCTGTTTTGTCTTCCTTTCCGATTTCACTGATATGCTGGCTGCACCAATGACTGACCGGTCCTGATGAAAAGTATAGTGTCAGGTACTGGTGACTGACATGGCGCTTAACGTGTTAATTAATATCTGATCTGATACTTCCAATATTTGGATCATATTGGAGTCTATATCTGTTGCCTGATTTATTTCTTGAAAATGGGACATTTATTTTCATGCTGTTTTTTAATGTCTTCTCTCTTTGAGTGGATATGGAACATCCTGTGTAAACAATATAGGCTGAGTTAAGCAGTATTTGTATTCTGAAATGAGCATGCCTCTTCTAGGTCATTATTGTAGGGGACTGAGTCTGCTGGTTAATAGTGGGCCAAGTTTGGGTTTTCCTTTTGTTTTTTTTAAAAGAAAATGGGAAGAAGGGAGGGAAGAAAGGAGGAAGGAAGGGAGGGAGGAAGAAACATCAATACCTACCCAGGAGAGAGAGAGAGACATCTAATGTTTGCCTCCCACATTAAATTCTGGTTTAATTCTGTTCTGATCAGAAAACATATTCAGTAAAAACCAAATTTTACATTTGTATGACTTGATTGCTTCTGATCCAGTGTTTGTATGGCCTATTTCAGTGAATGTTCTGTGTGCTCTTGGAAAGAATATTTTGCTGTTAGGGGGAATGTTCTGTAAATGCTACTTAGATCAATTTTATTGATAGTGTTGTTCAAGTCTTCTGAAGACTTACTGATTTTCTGTCTACTTGTTCTATTACTTATTAGAGAGCTATTACTTATTGAGAGAGTAGTATTAAAAGTCTCTAGCTATAATTGTGGAATTTCTATTATTCCTTTCAATTGTAATTAGGCTTGTGCTTTAATTATATTCAAACTCTGTTATTAGGTACATGCACATTTAGGATTGTTATGCTCTCATGGTGAATTGACCGTTTTATCTCTTAAATCATGCTTTTCTATTCATGGCAAAGTCTACTTTATTTTCTATTAATATAATTACTCAAACTTTATTTTTTTTTACATGATATATCTTGTTTTCATCCTTTTATTTTTACCTTATTTATGTCCAAATGGGCTCTTTGTGGACAGAATACAGTTGTATTTTTTTTTTTAAAAAAGTAATATGACAAGCTTTGCCTTGTAGTTGTAGTGTTTAAAACTAATACAATTATCAGTTTAAATCCATCATCTGAGCACTAATTGTCCCATTGTTTTTTCTCTTTTCCTCCCTATTGATTAACTTTTTATGATTCCCTTTATTCTCTACTAGTAGCTTACTAATTAAACTTTTGTTTTATTTGTTTAGTGGTTTACAGTATGCATCTTTAATGTACCACAATCTGCCTTTTAACCAAATACCACTTAGATTACATAGATTATAAGAATTATGTAACTATGCACTTCTAATTCCTCCTTCACATTAGTGTGCTTTTGTTGCTGTACACTCTATGATCACTATTTTTTGCTTTAGATAATCAGTGATCTTTTAAAGAGTTTTTTAAAAAAATACTTTTTCATAACTATAAATATATAAAATATATTTGCTTATATTTATTTGTTATTTATTTATTTATTTATTTATTTATTTTTACCATTCCTGTCCTTCTTCGTTGCTTTATGTAGATTCAAAATTTTATCAGCAGCAGCGGGGGCTTTCTCAGGCTTCCTGCTCAGGCCCAGTTCTGTCTGAACACCCGATGGAGACCTGTGGCAAGTGTGTGTGGGCTCCCCTTGTGTCTAGAGCTTTCTTCTGTTAAACAGTTGTTGTAGCCCACAGTTCACCTTTGGTAAATTTTTTGTGTTCTTCTTACCTTAATTTTTATTGGTCACCTGTTTCTTTTATGCTCTGCCAAAGTGAAGATAGTTCATGAATCCTGTGTCTCCTCAGAATGATTTTGGAATTCAGTTGATTGACTTGTAACCTTAGCTTTTAGATTTGACTCACAAATCATTAGGGTTTTTGTAGAGAATGTTTTTCCCCCCTAATTTTTAGGGCAGGAATGACATTCTCCTGTGGATTTCTACATCCTAAACAGAAACAGAACCTGAAACACGTAAAGTAACCTATAAAGGTCAAAGTTCAAAATAGCCAGGTCTTTCTTTCTTCATGCAATCAAGTCAGTTTAACAAAAATATTTCCTAGCTGTTTCAGATAACAAAAACACAGTAGCTATTATGAATAGAATGGGATATAAATTTGGAAATTTGTTGCTAAAATCATTTGAGAGGGTTGGAGAAGTAGGCCCCAGGCTAGGTATCCACTTATGTACAAATAACGGTACATCTGATTGGGAGAAATAAATCACCAGGGAGTCTTGGAAATAGAGTTTGGATTTCTGATCTTCACATTAGAGGAAAGTGGAACTGCAAGGAAGTTGGAAAGGATACTGAACAAACTGTAATTGGAAGCGACAGAATCCATTTGAGTGAGCTAGTTTAAGGAGAAAGACGTGTATTACAGGGTGTTAGAAGGCTTACCGAACCTCTAGGAGTTTCCAGGGATCCAAGTTTAGATGCTTAGTCTTCCTCTGGTTTTAGTTACAGCCAGCTTGTAGCTTCTACATTAAAGTATAATGGTAAAATAATCAACAATAGACCTCATAAAAAATAGAAAGGAAATTGGGGTGCAGAAGGAAAATAATTATACCAAGCAAGGAAGGATATATGAATGGCTTCTTTAGTCTTCTTTTTCTCTGTTTCTGAAATTCATTCTGAGGCCTTCATTGGCACTCAAAATCGACTTCCCTCACTCTTCTTTTCCCCTCAGTACTTTCAATAATCACAGTTCTTAATCTGGTAGGGTGACCCAAACTTCACTTTTGAGGGTTCTGAGCCCTCGTTAGAAGCAGTATTTTGTGGGAATAAGTCTTTCATAAGTCTGTGAACGGTTTGTTAGCTAATGCATTATCGGCAAAAAAGGCAAGTCATATTTAGAATAAAAGTCTGTTCAATGAGAACAGATGGCTGCTGGTCTATGATGCTGAGAGTTCAGTGTAACTGACATGTTACCAGGAATGGGAGGCCCAGGGTACTCTGTTCCTTGCAGATTGGACACCTGGAGTAATTGGATCGGATTTGGTGAGAGGATATCGTGTGTAGCACCCATGTGTGATCTCTGTCTCCTTGCCTCTGTGTCCACTTGTTTATATATCCTTTGAGTACTGGTGTGGTTAGGAAAAGAGTCTGGTTGATCACCATAGAGGAGATAAACTTATCCACCGGATATTAATGAGAATTTTCCTGCAAAGAAGAACTTATGAGTAAGCATGAGGATGCAAATATCCTCACACTCAGGCCCATCCTGGGTGACTGTCCATAAACCTCTTTTCTAAGCCTTATTGTTACCAATATTCTAATCTGATTTCTTTCAAGTTCCTGATCATTGGAACAAGTAAATAACCACTGCCCACAAATGAGTATGGATTAGTGATTCTGGCCATTTCTCCTTCACCTCAAAGTAGAAAGCCAGATTAAGTTTACTATTCCACCCTCCAAAAGGACCTGCCGCCTTTACTGTGCTTCAGAGCCGCCCCTGCTTGGGGCTGAAACGCAGGAGTAGGCTAGTTAGTTCTACTTGTTGCCAGTATGTCGTGCAAAGCCACCTGCCACAGTCTTAATTTCTTTCCTCTTAAATTGACATGTCATGGGGAACTCCCATGAAGCAATAAATAATACTGCATTAGGAGTAGACACACTAGGGCATGTTTTCATGTGTTCACGACCTCCTTTTCTTCTTGATAAGGGAGTAGTGGTGCTGAACATGCCTGATTAGACTTCACGGCTTACCATCAGGCAAAGTCTGGTTACATGGTCCCTTGGTTTCCAGGTATGTCAGAGAGTTATTTCTCAAAAGAATAATAATTAGCAGATGAAGAGTTTTTAGCTTGCTTAAAACCTCAGGGGACTCTGCCAATAACTGCCATGCGGTCTCACCCTATGAGGTCATGTCATAAGCTCCTTAAACCATCCCTCAGACCCTTTCAGTTCCATGGATTGCTTGTTGGATTGGAGAAAACTGCTTTAGTTGTAATGCAAATGCCAATAACTGAGCAGATTTGGTCCTGCAAGGAGACCATATTTGTAATTACTGTTGTAATTGCCACCCAATTAAACATAAAATAACTTCCTTTCCCTAAACTCCATCTGTCTGCATTTCAGATCAGATAGGTGAATTAAATGTGCAGGTAATAGGAGTGGCAGAGATGCTTTACTAGTCCGTGTGCGACTCAAGCTGCAGTGTGGTCTGGGAAGTACTATATTTTTCTCTCTGGCTAAATAGTTTTTTTATTTTTCAATTACAGTTGGCATACAAAATTATATTGGTTTCAGGTATACAACCCAGTAATTAGACATCATATAACTCCCTGAGTTTAGGAGGTGCTGTTTTAATTCTCTCAACCGATAGTGCATTAGGGACAGCTAGATGGAGTCAGAGGGAGTGCTGAGTCACCTATCTGTAAAGGCTGCTGCTACAGCTAAAAGTTGGGAATGTTATCAGTCATTTTGTTTGGATTTTGATCTGCTCTGATTTGCATCTTGAATGGCTAACAAATCTCCCTTTACAGAAGGACATATTGAATATATTCTCTGGTTGTGGGTCTCAGGTGTGGAAGCTCATGTGACCACTTCTGAATAATAAAAATTATCAATGACAAGCTTTCTGTTTTCCTAGTATGAACCACCCTTGGCTATGTTTTTCTTCTGAGATTTGTTTTAATTTTATTTTACAACAACAATAAGTCAAAATAGAGCAGCTTTTTAAAGGATGGGAAGTATGTCAGAGACCACACGCCACCCCATGGTAGTGGCATTTTTGGAAGTTTAAGTAACTCCGGCTAGATCTATTTCAATATCATTTCTCAAATTTGTATTCCTGGGCAAATCATGAAATACTATCAGTCATAAAGTTTATAATTTTTAGCAAAACGGGAAATAGAAAGGGAATGTGTTATCTTAGTCCTAACTGTATATAACTTGTTTGGGATACCCTTTCCTAAGAACTCATTTCAATTTTCATAAACTGGATGAATCTCCTATAAGTCTATTTGACTCATTATTTTAAGTAGTGGTTTTAAAGGAAAGCAGTCGCTATAGTAACTTGTTTTCATTATCATGTTAAATATATTTTCAGCTCCCTTGGAAATCATTGACTAGCATCATTGAATATTATTACATGTGGAAAACTACTGACAGATACGTTCAGCAGGTAATTTTTTTATATCACTACCAATATGATTACATTAAAGTGAACTTTCTGTTTATATTTTAATATTTCTTAGCAATGTACTTAATTTAAAATTTGTCTTGTTTGCTTTACCTTTTCTAGACTATTTTAAACTGCATGATTTCATATCCTTAAGATACTATTTTAAGATTTTAGTCTTAATATTTTTTTTTTTACTTCAGAATTTATTATGATAGCTATTTTGGAAGGACAACAGGGAAGGTACCACTAGAGAGGCAGTGTTTTCCTTGCAGGTGCCTGGTTCCTCATCTCTTTGTGAGTATACTTGAAGGGAATGGCCTAAGATGTGATGTTAGCACACACCTTTTGAGCAACTTGTTTTTACATATTGAAAGTTTAGACCAATGCCATTTGTGTGGATATATCTCCTAAATCTTTTCTCTTCACTGGAAAATTAGTCTTACTAGTTTGATGCCCTGGTGTACTGTACATAAATTTTTATCCAAAATTATTTCTGAAAGCAGGGAATGATTTGTTTCTGACTCCTTCCCACATGTCCCAAACTGAGGTAACTCTCTCAGTTACTTATTTTGAGCACTATTTCCTGGGAAAAGGCACATTTTCCTGAATGACCCCAGTCAGTACTTGTTTTTATATGCTTCTAGTCTCATGTCAGAACTGGTAAGGAAAATATATTTAACATAGACATTATTTTTCCTAAGTATGTGATTGCACAGTGGCAAGTGTTGGATGCTATAAAAATACTTTTTAAGAATCAGTTTAAAAATTGCCATAGTGAGTTGTTGAGATCATGAATAACGAATAGCCAGACACTCATGGCTTATTGAAACACTTCCAGAATCAACATTATGTTTAATTTAAAAAGTGCTTATTTGAAACAATTTAGTAGGTAGAAATGAAGACCAGGTGTCTGAACTGTTTCTCAAAGCAGAAAGAGTCCCCAAAGATGGTGGAGATGATGGCATCAAGGATGGTTGAAAATATTTGGATAAAATTCTTTTCGGAAATTTCAACTCCGTCCCTGAAAGTTTTAAGTTGTCCCCCTCAATGTTTTTGTTTACTTCTCATTGAGAAAATGAGGAGAAATAATTTGGTTTATCTTATTTTTTATATCTACCCTATATTATTTTCCTTCCCTATTTGCATTCATGTTGTGTTGATCAGTTTCTGGATTTGACTACATAATCTTTTTCCCATTCCTTTTCCTGCATTTGGCTCCTAATTGGTTCCTAAAATCTGATGTGAGTTCAGCCAAGCTATAAAGTATACTGCATACCTCCCAACATTTGAGGGTAAATGCTTATTTAATTGTACTTAGAATAGTTACTATCTCTTTCTTTTGCATGGACTTTGAAAACTAATCACCTCTGAATATTTTTCTAAAAGTAAAGATGATGTGTGTGTTTTTTTTTCTCCCAGAAAACCAAAAGAAGAAATACAGTAGAAAATAAATTTGAAAAGTAAAAACAGTTACTTACAAGTCCTGTTTATTCAATCACTCATGTGGGGGACGGAGTTGTTCATTGCTTTACTTTTAAAATCTATGTCTAAAACATTATTAATACTTACAGTTCTGTTTCTGAGAATCTAGTGACTTTTCTTAGAAATTACTGCAGCTTATATGCATATTTTAAAATGGCAACTTTTGAATTATGCTTTAAATTCATATTCTTGTGAATTTTTTTAAAAACAACGAAGTGGTAATAGTTGCTAAGCATTGCATGTAAAATATCTTATCTGTCTTTTGAATTAGAAACGTCTAAAAGCAGCAGAAGCAGAGAGTAAACTGAAACAAGTGTATATCCCAACTTAGTAAGTAATGGAAATCTTCTAAAATAATTGTCACGGTATTAATTCTATCAAAACAAAATGTGTCATTTTGGTCAGTTCCAGTCAAATTTGAATTTCGTTGTGTATCTTATTTTCTTCTACCACAAAGCATGAGGCTTGCTTCTTGTTATATCACTATAATAATATTTTTAGAGAGAAAAATGGCTGGTAGGAAAAAACGCCACTTAGACAATGAAAGGACTAGAGAAAGACTGTCCTTAAGTTATACTTCTGTCACCACTGCGGGGAAAGTGTCAGGAAAGTAACCTATGAAACTATTGTTGGAAGCAAATGTGCTTCAGGAAGCTACCAACTCATGAAACTTGTATGTGGTAGAATGGATTTTTTTTTTTTTTTTTTTGTAATGTATATTGCCCTTTTGAAGCATGTTGTTTATCTGGTTGTTAATTTTGTATTATTTGCTTAGGGCTAGGGTTAGGGAAAGTAATTGGAATCCTAGTTTGTGTATGTAGGATAAATAGTGAATAAGTTTATTGTTTTGGTCTAGCATTCTATCATTGTTTTCCTTTGGAGTTAGAAAACATTGTTATATCAACACGGATGCCAATTTTCTTTTCATATGCTATGTTTTAAATGGATTACAACCTTTTTCTTGAGATCTTTGAATTTCAATCATTCATTTGTTCAAGAAAATTTAGTTTATTGAGTACCATATCTATCTATCTATCTATCTATCTATCTATCTATCTATCTATCTATAGTGCTATCCTAGGTTCTTTGGGGTAAAAATGAAATGAACAACAAAGTTCTATGTACTGCCCCAAGATTTTTTTCACTCTATGAGCTCAGTACAGTTGTTTTATACTTAGCCTTTTATTTACTGAATTTTGATACATTAAGACAGTTTTATACTAATATAAGAGGCCTCATGGGAAATGAATTGTAATATTTCTTACTAATCTTTGTTTTTAAATCCTCATCCAAGAGTATGCTTTTATTGATTTTTTGAGAGAGAAGCTAGGGTATGATTAGGTGGAGACACACACATGCATACACACATATTGATGTGAAAGAGGAGACATAACCTACAACCCTGGTATGCGCCCTGACCGAGAATCAAACCCGCAACTTCCTGGTGTAGGGACAACACTCCAAACCACTGAGCACATTGGCCAGGCATCTTATTAATCTCTTATCTCAAGCCAGATAATATGTAATTTATGGGGCCCATAATTTTTATTCAGAGATATAATGTTCCTTCTGCAAAGTGGTTTCTAATATTTTAAAATTTTGTATATTTTATTTGACTTATTTACAAAAGAATAACTCCCAAAAGAAATCTGTTGTGATTCATCTGTCTCAGATTTTCAAAAGCAGGCATACCAGCTTTCTTGAACTTTACAATGTTTGTCATATCAAAGAAAAAGTGTGTTCACCAAGCTAAGAAACTGAGGTGGAGAACCAGGTTAGGTCATTTTGAGTTTGTTGTGTCCACAGAGGTGTTGAATATATTACTGGATATATTGGTCTTAAACTCAGGGGAAAGCTCTGGGCTAGAGATACAAATTTGAGCTTCATCAACATATATCATTGTGTCTTATAACTATGTATGGGATTTTATAAGGAATCAATAAGAAAAAAAAATGCCTTGAACCAAGCTTGAGGAAATCCAGTATTGGTATGTCAGATACAGATAGAGAATGAAAGTTAAAAAAGAATAGCACGGTGAGTGTATTATTATCATTAAAGCTGAGAGAGGAGTGGATTTCAAGGAGGGAAAGAGATCAACAGAGATAAAAAATAGCCAGGGAACTTGGCATCACAGAAGTTATTGGTGATCTTTAATGCAGTGGTGAGGGCTGCATAGAGCCAAGGTGCTGCAGACACTGAAGATTGCAGCAAAGGCAGTTGAGAGAAAGTTCTCGGCTTTGGGTTGGGATAGAGAAATGGGAGAGTTTTTAAAATAGAAGAAATACTTTACATGCTAATGAGGAGGGTCCAGGAAGGAGAATCAAGTTCTCAAGAGGTTGGAGGGGTGGAATCTGGAGCACGATGGGAGAGGAAAGATTTGGGCATCAGATAAAAGGGCAGTTTCATATAATGTGACTTTAAAACATCTTTCATGCTTTTCTTAGAATAAAAGTTTATTCAGATGGTCACATTGACCTCACTCATTTGTGCCCTGAGAATTAACCTGCACATACTTGATTTTGCAAAAACATAGTTTAAGTGATCCACATGTCTATGTTCAGCCTTTGATCACTTGTTTCTCTTTTGTAATTATTATAATATTAAGGTCAGTAGTTTATTCAGTCAAATAACATTCTAGATTCAGGTGAAGAACTAAAGTTGTATCCACTCTTGTTCTTTTTTTCAGGCAGTTCAACTGTAAATTTATATTAGCTCTTTTCAACAAATATATTTTAGCCCAGGGTTAAATGTCAGAAATTTTCATATTTTGGGGAAGCCGTTTCATTTCAAGGGGCCATCATGTCTATCTAGCTATAGTAGGTTTTTAAAAATCAGAAATATTATATCCCTTGGACATCTTAATCATTCTAAATTACCACTTTTCATTTTGTACATTTTCAGGTGAAAGCTATAAGAAGAGAAATACATTCTTTCTGGCTTAAAATGTGTTTTTTAAAACCAAGTTGTCTTCAAAACACATTGCTGGCACAGGTTAAAAGTGTAAATAATAGCTCTGTATACAGAATAGGGACCTCAGAGCACTCAGAGGTTAAACGATTTCATCTGGGGGTGGTGATGGGCGTCACCAAGAGTTACAGAAACAATGCCAGGAAGATATCTTAATTTGCTGTCAGGCCAAATTTACATACTAGGCTTTTGCTGGTAATTGGAACTATGGGAATGAGAAACAGCCAAGAGGAAACTCCTGAACCAACTTTGTGTGGAAATGCCAAGTGTCTTGATAGTTGTGACCACTCATTACTTTAGTAATCATGGGAAGATATAGTCATTCTGCATTTATTTCTCCCAAATCGACGTGAAAGCTCCTTGAAGTCAGATACTAAATAAATACATGTTAAGTGAATTATGAGTTTATTGAGGACATACTGTGTATACTTGTGCAGTATTCTCAGTCATGACGTATAAGCTGGGGAGTTAGCTTCCCCTAGATGGTGACAAGTTAGCCACGTCTGCACAGCAAGTGGAAGATTTCTGGGGAGTGATGGCCTCTGGGAAATTTGCACATACACTTCTGATGATGTCACTCTTTTCCTCCTAAAATTTTTTCTTGAAGAGAAAAACCTCTACCTCTACTTTCCAATGCTATGTAATCTTTATAAAAGTTCAAACATAATAGAAATTATTATCATGAGCAAAGTCTACTGAAATTCTGACTTAACTCTGGACATGCCCCATTGACTCCCAGTGTTTGTGTTAATCATGGTCTTTTGTAAGTTCCCTCGGAAGTCAGCAGGACCGGGACAGAGCCTTCCTCTGAACACAGCACTTCGCCTTCGGCTTCATTAATATGATTCATAAAAGTATTTTATTTCCTCAGGAGACTTTGTGATAGCTGATAGAGCTTAATGACTTGTATTTTTCAAAATAATCAGAGGGTGTCCTAAGGAAATTGTATCTGTGTGGAGAAGAGAGATGGCTCTATTTTGTGAGTGCCAGGCATCAGAGATTGGTTTGTACATAGCCTTGTTTGTAAAGATGAATGGTTTTGGGTCCACTTTTACCAGTGTATTTCTTCTTCACCAAGCATTGAGATTTATTTATGTGTAATTCAGATACATCAGTAATGAAGTATAGAGCCGTTGCCTTGTTTGCACAAGTCATTTTTATGACCTTATTTTACCTTTCATTGGAAGCAGCAAACCGAATCCCAACCAAATATCCACCAGCAATGGCAAACCTGGTGCTGTGAATGGGGCTGTGGGAACCACATTCCAGCCGCAGAACCCCCTCTTAGGGCGAGCCTGTGAGAGCTGCTACGGTGAGTTTTCTCTAGCGGGGCTTTCTTTTCTCCCTTGAGGCCTGTCTCAGTGCAGTGCGTGGACCTGTGCTGACACTGTGGGAGGGAGGTACATGAGGTCAGTGCTGCGCAGAGGGCAGAATAATGCTTATCTTCCACCTGAACACTTTGTGCAAGCCATGAGCCCATGAAATACTCCAAATCCCCTTTTGGAGTTTCTCAGTATACTTTTGACAACTTAAAGGCTCCAAATAAATCTGTAGGAAACACCTGTGTGGGGGTAAACTGCTGCTTATAGTCCTCAGACCAGAGTCTCCCAAGCACTGGCTTGGGAGAGGCAGTTCTATGATATTTGTTTTTTACCTCAGGATCCCAATTTATTCATTCCTGTCCAAAATCTCTACCAGAGGCTGGTAATATTATGTTCGTTGGGTTGGTGAGATGAATTGTTACATAGTTGATATACTTTTTATGTTTATTTAAAATCTCATACAACAATATCATATCTTAATGGAGTATTGATGACATTATCATCTGTATTTTCTACCTCCCAACCAGAGTATGCTTGGTGGGAGAGGGAAGAAAACTATTAAAAGTCTACTTGGTCCCTAGTGTTTGTCTCTCAGTAGCTCTTTGAGGGTAGATGCAGCTGGCTGCCCTAAGGACATATGAATGAGGGTGTTTCAGCATTAAAAAGGCTCTTAAAATCAAATCATAAAATTTCTCTTCTAAACCAAGGAAGGTGTGAGCCAGACAAATTGTGACTTCATAGAATGGTACATATCTACCCATTTTCTGCACCATGGGAGCACAAAGGGAAACAGTTTGTGGAAAATTACCTTCTTTGGTCAAGATTTTACGTGAATTGCATCACAAATACTTTTGAATTGGGATTTCTTAGATTTCAAAGTGCATTTATATTTAAATTAAAAAAAAAAAAAAAAGAATTCTGGAGACAAATACCGTGTTTCCCCGAAAATAAGACATCCTCCGAAAATAAGACCTACTTACAGGTTTCCTTCTGAGTGAAATATAAGGCATCCCCTGAAAATAAAGCCCCCCCAGGCTCTGTCTCAGAATGAAAATTAATTTACCGTAAACTTTGTGAAACCTAAACTGCAAGAAGTTGTGACTTGGGTGAAGAATTCATGGGAGAAAATCATTGACAGTTGCATTGCAAATGCACTGAAAGCAGGCTACCTTGACAAGAAGTACTCATTTAAAGACAGTGCTATTGCTAAACATGAGAGATTTGGTCCACTGATTCTGAAAGAAATGGAGTCACAAGAAATTCACCAGGAAATTCAGGAATTAGATTGTTATGATGATGTTCCAGAAGATGAAGACATGATTGTCATTGAATAAATGAGTAAATTCTTGATACTATAGGATTCACAGTTTGTCTGGTACTGTATACAGGTAATAAATTTCCTTTATTTTCATTTAAGAATAAATGTGTACCGTATTCTTCTTCATGGAAAAATAAGACATCCCCTGAAAATAAGACCTAGCTCATCTTTGGGAGCAAAAATTAATATAAGACACTGTCTTATTTTTGGGGAAACAGGGTAGTAGTGCCTTAATCTGTCTTATCTTTTATTTATAATCCCCTTTACACATAAATAACCTCACATATACCTTTAAATAATCTGTCATTTTTCTGTATGCATGCCAAATAAGCACTCTTAATTTTATAATATTTATTTTTGGTTCATATTTTAAAATAATTTCTATCAAAATTATATGTTTATAAGGTGTACGTGTACCATTATAGAAAAATTGCTCTTTTCTATTTGTCATTTGTCAATTGAACATGAATTAATTATGTGTGGAAAGCATTTGCTAACAAATATTAAATGACATGTCTTAGTTTGGGTAAAAATTTTGTTTTCAGAATCTAAAATAAGTTTATGCCTAATATGTAAAATTCTTTTCATTTGTGTTTTTAAAAAGCCAACTTAAGATTTGTTTTTAAATTTTAAGAGGAAGGTTTTGGGGCTGCTGCTTGCAAGGAGTCCTCCAAAAGTAATACATGATGAGTTGCACAGCATTATTCTCAATGAACTAGAAAGGCAATTTGATTATGACAGTCACCATATCTTCTTTTTCTGACATTGGCTGTGAAGTGTTAGCTGACTCCTGGCTGTGCTGTTTGAACATTATCTGCTATAGATCGGGAGGAATATTCCGAGGCAACTTACAGAATTATAATAATGATTTTTATGCACCTCATTAATTTAAATGTGTCAGTATCAATGTTTTCAAACCTCAGACTGGGATACTTTGACTGTTACGTGGCAGTAATTTAAACTGCAGAATAAGACTAGCACAGGCTTGCAGTGTTTAGTATGTGATAAATCCACTGTGTTACTAGTTCTTAAGCATGCTGTGAAGTCCACCTATGCTCACTGAATATATAATTACAGTCTTGAAGGAATTCTGTTTTTTAAAGGAAGAAATTTAAAATAATTATTTTATCTGTTGATTAAGGAATAAAAAACAGATACCTGCTTCTGTCACATTCCTACCTCTGTCAGTGGGGCCCCTCTGAGTACTGTAACTGAACTATAGGTTTGGGAAACTGGCTTTAAACTTTAAACACTAATAGCATTAGTAATTTTCTGCTAGCTTATTTCCAGAAATGTACACTATAGAAAATATTTGTAATTAAGAAAAACTCCCTCAGCAACACAACATACTGTGTAGGATATGTCACCTAATAGCTTCTTTTGGAAAGATGCCACGGAGATTTGGTTGTGTGTGTGTGTGTGTGTGTGTGTGTGTGTGTGTGTGTGTGTATATATATATATATATATATATATATAATATGGTTTTTAATTAATTCTGAGTTTTGAAAACTATATGTATACTAGAGGCCTGGTGCACGAAATTTGTGCACTGGGGGTGAGGTGGGGGGTGAGTCCCTCAGCCCAGCCTGTGCCATCTCACAGCCAGGGGACCCTTGGAGGATGTCTGACTGACGGCCTATGCCTGCAGTCAGACATCCTTACTGCTGCAGTGGAGGCGGACCCACCACCGCCGCCGCTGCACTTGTCAGCCATGAGCCAAGCTTCTGGCTGAGCAGCACTCCCCCCATGGGAGCGCACTGACCACCAGGAGGCAGCTCCTGCGTGAGCATCTGCTTCCTGGTGGTCAATGTGAATCATAGCAATTGGTCATTCCACCAGTCGATTTGCATATTTGTCCTTTATTATGTAGGATATTACACTTTCATATATGGTTTGTAAGTTGGAGGGAGAAAAATAACGTAAACAGAGTGGCTTTGGAATGTTTTTTGAAAAATTTGAATATATATATTGAAATTACAAACTCTATAGCATCTTTGTTTTTCTTTTTTCTCCATCTTTAGCTACACAGTCTCATCAGTGGTACTCTTGGGGTCCACCCAATATGCAGTGTAGATTATGTGCAACCTGTTGGCTCTATTGGAAAAAATATGGCGGCCTGAAAATGCCCACTCAGTCAGAAGAAGAGAAGTTGTCTCCCAGCCCACCTACAGAGGTACATGAGCAATAGTCCTTTTAGCCTTGACGATGGCCGTATTTTTCATTGGCTGGATCAGTCCTTGAAAACTGAAGTACAGTGTTAGGTAATTTAAAAGCAAACAATTTTTATGGCTAAACATAGCACCACAATATTCAGGGTGAGGGTGGAGAGAAGGGCAGGGACAGATCCAGTCTTCACAGGTATTCAAAATATTTGTTTTGTGAGAAGATTACTGAGACAAAAGAACAATGTGTGTGGGAGGCCTTAGCATAAGTAGAAAGCTTACTGATTAAATGTTTATTTTAATTGTTTTTTTTAAAACAGTTTGCAGCCTTTAGATACGATTGAAATTGTATCTTATTACATAAAATAACAACCTGAACATTTCTTTCCCCCATTCCTTGGCTATCATAGGAGGCACAAGAACGTGTGGACTTAATTTGAGGTGAACACCAGTTGAAATAGGATTTTGGAAAAATTCTCATAGCAGATATCCAGCACCCCGGTCTATTAGAGGGAGACTATTATATTTGGGGACTAACAGGATCTCAGAGTCCTTCAATATTCTTTTAAACAACACTCAGAATAATTTAATTAACCCCTTGGCATCAATGTTAAAATTTAATTTAAAAAATGTAAAAAAAATAAATATAAAAAAAATAAAACTATTATGAATATAGTTTGGGATTGTTAGGATCAATCCAAAAACACATACACACTCCCCCACCCCAAACTTAGTTTTCTTCTCCACTTCCCTACCTTCTTTCCAAAAGCACACACTTTGTACTCCTGTCTTTTGGGGCAGGATGTGAAGTTATAGATGATTCCGTGGAAGGTTTAGAAACTGCACTGTTGTCTGAGCATGATGCCAGCAGTGCTGCACGTTAACCAGCTCTGTTCCTCACCCGTTTGTTGGTGTCTGATTCTGCAGGACCCCCGCGTCAGAAGCCACATGTCTCGCCAAGCCATGCAGGGGATGCCCGTCCGCAACACCGGGAGCCCAAAGTCTGCGGTGAAGACCCGCCAAGCTTTCTTCCTCCACACTACATATTTCACAAAATTTGCTCGTCAGGTCTGCAAAAATACCCTCCGGCTGCGGCAGGCAGCGAGACGGCCGTTTGTTCCTATTAATTATGCTGCCATTAGGGCAGAATGTAAGATGCTTTTGAATTCTTAACCTTATGTGTTGTGCTTCTGACCATTTTCTCTCTTTCCCGCTCTCTTTTTTTGTTTCGTTTTTGTTTTTATTTGCAATAAACATAAGTTCTTGTGTACAGCCTTTTATTTGGTTTATTTTTTTTTTTAACATTGTTTTTGTCTGCTGCCATTTGCATTATGCCAACCTGAAAAGAACACACTGCCCCTCCGCAGTCTTTTGCGTAGCGTTGAGCAAACGATGATGGGAGGTGGTCCTGTCCTGGGGCTTTGTGATGGATTGCCTCACGTAGGTCTTCCTGAGGCACTTGTACCTGGAAGGGAGGGTCACAGTGGAACCCCCCAGCGTGGCGGTACAGGGAAACCCGTCACAGAGACATGCAGTCCAGTCTGACATGACTTCATTAGGTTTGAATAAAATTTGCCAATTTAATGAAAAACTGTATGTCATTATAAATTGTATTGTTTTCCCATGAACTTTTTACAATTATACCATATTTTGGAAGTTCACAGTGCTTCAACATAAATACTAGATTTATTAGAAAATTTAGAAAATTACAAGTGAATTTTAAAGGCTTTTGGGTGAATTTTCTGAAAATACACAGTTTTCACAAACTCATGTCCGAATTTGTGGTTGAGCATTCTTTCTATTGTCCAGTTGGGTTTCCATTTCATAATCATATATCATATATATTTCCACAAACATTTACATGACTTTATTACTCTCATTTGCAATGCATTCATTCTTGCTTGTGTTTCATTTTGTTTTGTTTTGTTAGAACAAAGGTCATATGTACCAATGAATTATGGATTGTTCTTTTATTACCATGTACCCTTAAATGTGCCCATAAGTTATGTGTTAACTCTGATTCTAGACATGCTCCTTTCAGTCACATTCCTGGCTAGCATGTGAGAGTCATGCAGCTTTCCCCTAAAGGATGAGAAAACTTGCTGTCAGGCTTAACATAGGAGATAGGAAAGATATTTAGTAGATGTTTTTTCTTTGTCCTTTAGATAAGAAAATTCTTACTACAGGATGTTCCCATTTTGATTTAAAGAGAGGGTACCCATAAAAGGAATAATGATTGAAAAACATTTTGTTCCTAAAGATAATTTTCAGCATAATAGTTGAAAGGCTTTAAAATTTTACAGATAAAAGCTTTATAGGAAGAAAAGTGCTCTGAAAGGGGAGTGGAAATTGATAGTAATCTCTGGGTCCCCTGGAGGGGAAATTTAGCTACATTAGATTCATAGGTATTTGAGAATTCAGGCTTATGTTGAGATTTCGTTGCTAGCATTTCCACGTTGAGGGATTTATGCTGTTTTCACTTTTTATAATCAATTTCAAGGAACTGGAATATTTATATTCATCTAAATTGCTTAGTTGATTTAAAACATACTTTTATATATAATTTCTTAAATAAGAGGAAAAACATTTGAGAAAGAAAATGAATTAAATTTATTAAAATTGACTGGGATCCAATATCATCTTTGTTCCTATGAATGGAAAAGAAACCATCACCAACTAAATTGGCTGCTTGAGGAAGCTTCTGTTCCCTGTGGCTTTTCTGTTCATTACTCAGTGAATTTTCAAATTGTGTTTACTTTGATTATTCTTCAGTGAAGTATATTTTTCTGTCACCTCATTTTATCCCCTCCCCCAATTGGAAGCCCATAGTGCTTTTAAAAAGTTAAGATCAAATTACCTGTATTATTTCTACAAACATAGATATATAGTAATAATGAAAGAACAGTCACTTGTGATGAGATTCAAGGAACATTTTATTTTGTAGTTAGCTTCGTTGGGTTACATATATAATTAGATTCTCAGAATAATTAATTTTACCTTGAGATTTAAAATGACAAAGCTTCAAGCAGGCATCTGCTCAGTTATTTTTTCAGACAGCCAAATGAACTCTTCATAGCATGTAATTGATTCTTGCATCATCTCCCTTATGCATACCGACCGTATTGCAGCCTCTTCAGCAGGTCCCTTGATCTTGGCTTGTTAGTGAGAAGTTCAGGTGTTGATAACCTGGTGTCTGTAAACAACCATGTCTCTGGTCCAGGAAGAACGTATGTGTTTTTTGGGGTGTAAGCTTTTCTTGGTTTCTCAAAGGCAGTGGTGATCCTGTTACTCCCCTCACAAAGTTAATCACTGTGGTGCAATGTGAATGCTCTTTTAGATCAGGTAAAAGGTTGTAATTCTAAAGATACTGGTAAATTAAGAGCTCTAATTACTGCATTTTAGAATACTTCATCATAATATTGGAAAAGGGAAATAGTTTTCCCTGAGAACTTGAGCATCTTCCTCTTACACGCACTATAAAAGTTGACCCCTTATCAGCACCATCACAACCAGAATTTAAGGGGTTACAGACTGCATATGACTGAAAAAGAGGGGAGCTAAATTCTCGATTAGATGGGGGAGACCATACTCTTAACTACGAGTTCTTAAAGGGGAATCTTTGTTTGCATGTGTGTAAAATATCCCAAAGAAAATGTAAGAAGCAGTGTGGGAAGGGAACTTGGAGAGCTGAGAGAAAGGTGTTGGGAAGGAGACTTGACCACTCCATTCTTCTAGACTTTCAATTTTGAACCATGGGAATATAGTTTCTATTTTAAATAATTTAAAAGCAAATAAGTATATTTTATGACCAACGTGTGTGTGTGTGTGTGTGTGTGTATGTGTGTGTGTGTGTGTGTGTGTGTGTATGTGTATGATATGTGGAAAATGATTTTTTAAAACAAATTTCTCCAAATATCTATTCATTTTAATAATATACTTTTATGTGTGACTATATAAGTCCATGCCCCAAATTACTAAAATTAGTAGAATACCTGAGCCAATTCTACCATATAGATAGTGCTTATTAAAAAAATGCATTGCTAGCCCGGACAATTTGGCTCAGTGGTTGAGCATTGACCCATGAACGAAGAGGTCCCTGGTTCGATTCCTGGTCAGGACACAAACCCAGGTTGTAAGCTTGATCCCCAGTAGGGAGGATACAGAGAGCAGCCAGTCGATGGTGTTTCTCATTGATGTTTCTATCTTATCTATCCTTCCTCTCCAATTTCAATAAAAACATTTTTTAAAAATGCATTGCTAAACCCTAATCCAAACATTGCATAAAAGTACTGTGTCTTTGACAAGATTTGCAGACTGATGTCATGGTTGTAACAGCATCAAGTTTCAGACAGACTACCCTGTCCCTTCTCCCTTTTGATGCCACTCCCCAGTTAAAAAACCACGATGTGATAATGGGGTTCCTCCTTTGTTACTGCCATCAGACATTAAGTTGCCAGATGACTTCATCAAAGATCAGTAAAATCACCTGATATCAGCTGAGCACAGGGTTACTATGAGATTCAGGATCCTCGGGGACTGAGGAAGAAATAGGTGCATTAGCAGCGTCCTATACGTGAAGCTGGGCCTTAGAGAAGTGGATCCAAAGGACTTACCTGCTACCTTTGTAGCTTGCATGGGTCAGTAAGTGGTTTCTGAGCTGATAGCACACCAGACTTCAATGACAGCAGTATCCCCAGAATGAAATTCAAGAGGCACCTGGAGATTATATATATATATATATATATATTTCCCCCTGTTTGAAGCTGCTAATTCAACTTGGAATTATCCCAAGGCCCCATATTCATAAGAAATTTGTAACATATTTACTGATTATTTTTTAGAGATGGATCAGCAAAGTTAATTGTATAAACTGTGAAATTGTAAGCTCTAACATTAGGAGAGAACAGTTGGGTTTTTTATTTTGGCATTTTGGGTAATAAATTTGTTTCTGAATGGATACTTCAAATCTTTCTGAAGATACAAAAGTGATTGCAAATCTTATCACTGATCCCATCCTACTCTTCAGAGGTAACCACTGTTACCAGTATCTTAAGTATCCAGAAGTATTCTGGATTGCTTTTTTTAAAATTAATTTTTAAAAAATTAGGTTAATTAACTTAAGAATTCCTAGATTATTTCCAATCATTTTTTATTAGAAGTAAGGTTGTAACAAATATCCCTACATAGATACTTCATATTGATGAACATGCATTTTGTTTTTTGTTGGGCTTTTTTTTTGCAAGTAAGAATTGAAACTTTATTGATTGGCATATATATTTTATTGATTTTTCACAGAGAGGAAGAGAAGGATAGAGAGTTAGAAACATTGATGAGAGAGAATCATCAACCAGCTGCCTCCTGCACACTCCCTACTGGGGATGTGCCCGCAATCAACGTACATGCCCTTGCCCGGAATCGAACCTGGGACCTTTCAGTCGGCAGACCAACACTCCACCGAGCCAAACCAGTTTCGGCTGAATGTGCATTTTGAATTTTGATAGTTGCTACTACCCAGTTATCCTCAGAAAAGGCAATCTACACTCCTGCCCACAGTGTCTAGAGAGGCCTGTTTCTCTAGGACCTCGCCACAGTGTTGCCCATCTTTCAAACGCTTGTCTAGTGGGCGAGTGACATGAGCTTGCATTTCTGTCTTTGAGTGAGATGGAAATCTTTGCATATATTTGTACATCCCTTTTCTGTCAACTGTTTTTGCCCCTCACCTATTTTTCTGTTGGCTAAAGTCTTGATTTGTGGGAACTTTTTATATGTTAAGGAAATGAGCTCATCTATGATATGTGATGCAAATATTTCCCCATTTTGTCTTTGACTTTGTTTATGATGTATTTACCAAATAGATTTTTTTAAAACACAGTTGAATTTACCTTTTTTTTTTTTTTTTTTTTAATGGCACCTGTATTTCGTGTCTTGTTTAGAAATGCTTCTACAATTCCTAAAAGAAAATTCTGTGGTTGGTTTTATTTTGACAGCAATCTCGAAACCTATGTGAGAGGTTTTTGTGAATTCTATTTTATTTTTTAAAATATATTTTATTGATTTTTTTACAGAGAAGAATTGAGAGTCAGAAACATCAATGAGAGAGAAACATCAATCAGCTGCCTCTTGCACACCCCCTACTGGGGATGTGCCTGCAACCAAGGTACATGCCCTTGACTAGAATTGAACCTAAGACCTTTCAGTCTGCAGGCCAATGCACTATCCACTGAGCCAAACCAATTGGAGCGAGGTTTTTGTGAATTTTAGTTCAGTGTTTACTTTTTGCCATTTTCCCATTTCATTTATGCCCCCCAATCTTTCCAAAGCAGTTTTTAAAAAAATGACCATCAGCTTCAATAAAAGTAACTGTTTTTCCAGGTTTACCTCAAGGAGTTGTAGAGCATCCTCTTGGAAGCCAATGAAAAGTGCCTTGTGTTCAGTCAAGTAACTTGAGTGAGATTCGGAGTTCGCCCCATCCCTGGGCAGATTTTGATTCCTTCCGGGTTCTTCGGGCATTTGTCAGATTACTTCCTTTATCTGTGTACTTTTACTGCACACTAACGAATGATCTCTAAGTAGTTGGGAGAATAATTTGGGAGTGAGGACTGACCCACACTGGCCTGGTCTTATCAGAAGATGCTAATTCAACTTGGAGTTAAATTCTACTTAACCACCTCAAGTGCGGACCTGATAATCCTGTTTATGATCATTCCCTCAGGGTGGAATGTGTCTTTGACTTTGTTTATGTTCCATTTTTATAACACTGAATGGCTGCCATTTTTATGTTAAACAGCAACTCATAGTTTTAGTACCTTCCCAATTTCTTTATAGTTGAGACTGATAATTCCTGTGAGGTTAGTAACATGGATCTTTCTTAAGAGCTTTGATCCCCCATTCAGGTGCTCTAAATTGTCACTTGGAACATCACATAATTACTCCAACTAATTTAGTGAGAAATTAGAAACATGAAAGTGAAATATTTTTGGGTATTGTGCTGGTGACCCCTTTGATGGATTTGTTGATTCTTGTCAAGGTGATGGTTATATGGGAGCCCATCAATTAACAGCCATATTGGTAGTTTTCCTTTGGACCTTATAGACTGGAATAAAGAGCAAAGTTAGTCTAATCACTAGTAATATAGCGATTGCCTTTGCCTAGCACACTAAGGAAATAACCAAGAGGATTTATGCAAGCTTTATTGTAGAAAGGAGAACATTTTTCTCTTGTCCTCATCCTAAATAGAACTTCAGAAGAATTAAAATATTAAGAAGGAATTACTATTTAGTATTAGCTCACAGTGATTTCACAGGTGTTTGATCCTTGTAGGATTTGGGCTGCTTTTTAATGTTTAATTAGATTACTCTTCAAAAATGTGCTGATTATATTTCCACCTGTGTCTTCGCTATTAACAACGGGTGAAAAGCTTCATAGCTTAGTAAGTCCCGCCTCCCATCCCCCAAAGGAAATCAGCTGAATAATAGAAAAAGAAATGGAATCATCATAGTTGCCAGTGGTTTCATAATAATTAGCCAGTGTTTGGGATACATATTCAGATTCCTATTACTTGAGGATCTCTGTAGTATGTACTTTGTTTATTTTAATATTTTTAAAATGCTATTTTCCCACCTTTTTCTGTTACTAGAAAAGAGTTTCCTTGGTGAAAGAGTAGGCTAGAGCTTATAAAAATGTTAATTTTTTAACTTTAAGTTACTTGAGGTTTCACATAGAATTGTATGGGTTTGTTTTGTTTTGGGCTCTTAAATGATTATGTATTTATTTTTTTTAGTGTTTAAAGTATTACACATAGTAGTACATATGTCTCATTTTCCCCCCCTATTGATCTTCCCCCAGCTTCCCCTACTCCCCAGGCCATGCCCTCACACCCCTCCCCCCTTAACCCCTAGTGTCTTGCGTTAGAATTGTATGTTTTAATAGTGCAGAGAATTCCTATGGATGTCAAAAGAAATTTCTTGTATATATGCCTAGAAATGTAGCCTCAGCCTGTGAAAGAGCAAATTCTTAGAGTCAGAAAGCCTGTAGGACATTTTTGTCTAATATTTGAAGATGGTGAAAAGGGATAGATATGGAAGAGTCACCTGCCAGAGCCACTCGGTTAAGATTTATGGCAATATATGCAAATTTAAACAACTTCAATGCACTTTTTTTGTCCCGTCAAACTCTATTTTTACAACAACTCTGGTATGAGAGGCAGCCGTGTTCCACATCTACTCTTCTGTCCTAATGACAGCTCATTAAAATGCAGAGCGTGCGTGGTGTATGCTTTATTTTTCTCTGTCTGAAATGCCTGCGGCAGGGTAGGAGGAGTGTGCTGTGAGCTCTTATCAACTAATACCCATCCTCACAGTACCTTACTGATTCTGATTAGCGGATAAAATACCCTGCATACAGGTGACCTTTTAAATCTCGGCACGAATGACATCAGGGTGCGATAGGAAGGCTAGGAAACCAAGCGATAAAACCAAATGACCCATTTTCGTCCTTGTCAGGCTGTCGTCGAACGGAACTGAGTGTCACCAAGCTAGACAAGTGCTCCTCGGTGGAAAACCACTCCATCTGAGTCAGGGGTGGCTCAGGGGGTTAGTTACCTTTGTCAGCTGTCACTTCCGCCTTCCATGCCAGATTAATCCTAATTAGGATGGACTCAGCCTCGTACTTCATGGAAAATGTCCTGCTTTCCTGTAGAAGAGCTGTGGCTAGAAAGGAAGCATATTCCCACTGCTTTTCAGATGGGCACACACAGAATCTCAGATGGTTTTCTGAAACCCGAAACGAAAGGACACAGGAACCTGGTGGATATTTTGCACTTGCACCTTTTATTTCTGTCGTGTACGTAGTACAGGAAGAGAAATCGGCCTCATTGGGTGTCTCCATGTTTCTTTCTCTCCTCAGATGCAGACAGACATGCTGAGCTCTCTGGGAGTCCGCTGAAAAGCAAAAGCACCAGGAAACCTTTGGCATGTATCATTGGGTATTTAGGTGGGTACTTTCTAATAGAGGAAGAAACCTCAACTACGCCTGTATCTTAGAAACATTTGGCTATCCTAAATGGACATACCTCAGTTAAATTCAAGCCTTTTGAATAGCTGAAATTGGATACCTTCGCATGTAGAGTCAATTTATCTTGTTTTGGAAACTTCCTTTATTATTCACAGCAGACACAGTTATGGATTTGTTTACTTTTTCCCAAAAAAGTCATTGAATAAAAATGCAACGTGTACTCATGTATATAAATACAGATTAAGCAATAAAATGAAAATAAGAACCATTAAATTATTAATGAATGAATAGTCCTAAGATTGTAGATTCTTTTTAAATATTTTTATTGATTTCAGAGAGGAAGGGAGAAGTAGAGAGAAATAGAAACATCAATGAGAGAGAATCATTGCTCTGCCACCTCCTGCACTCCCCCTACCATGGATTGAGCCAAATACCTGGGCATGTGCCCTGACCAGGAGTTCAACCTGGACCTCCTGGTTCACAGGTGGGTGCTCAATCACTGAGCTACACTGGCCGCGCCTAATATTGTAATTCTTATCCTTCTAGTACTTCAGTCCTCCTCCTTCCCTTAAAGAGAGAGAAAAGGATTGGTTTATTTACCTTTTTTAACAAAAAGATAAAACTGATTTTTAAGCTACCTTTAAAAAATTTATAGTTTTGATGTGCCAATCAAGATTACTTTGAAAGAGGAGCATTTATATTGCTTTCTGAAAGTTGCCAAAGATGATGGTTCCATTTACATGTTGAAATATCACAATTAACGATAGCATAAAAAATTACTGGGCAATGAACTCTTTCCTTTTTTTGGCAAAGGCTTAAGATAATTTGCAAAATAATGATTCCTAATGTACCTAGAAGCTATAATGGCGTATTTCTAATAGTCTTGCCTTTTCATTTTCTCAGTAAATGAAATATGTAGTCAGAGTTGCACTGAACCGTATTGCTCTGTCAGAATTTGTGGTTATGAAGTGTTCAAACTTTAGACAGCCAGTCACTTAAATCAAAGTGTAGCCTTGAGCCTCGTATATTATCGGATCCTCACCGAGCATGCTAGCAGCAGTCAGAAGCTCACAACTCCCTCTTTGATGCTAGTCTGCCACCTTGTTTCTTGTTTTATTCCTCGGGGGGCTAGCGAGTTGCTTTGCTAGCCCCTGCACATATCGCATGATTATCATAGGCATGGCCTAGATCATGGTGGATAAATCCTTGAGGTCTGCTGTCTGTCTTCTTTGCAAGACCTAATCCTAGAAGACCATTCTCACCTGTAAGGCAAAGTTTATGATCATAAAAAATAGAATATAGCATTGCACATTCATTGGCCTCCCCACAGGTAATTGTGTATCCCTCCTGTGGGTAAACTGGTGTGGGTTCCTCCCAGGTATGCTCAAAGCTGAGCTGCCCTACTAGCTAATTTATATCCCTACATGACATAGTTCTGAGTATTTACTATGTACAAGACACTGTACTAAGTGGTTTGGGAACTCCCAGATGAGTAAGACCTTGCCTTCAAAAACCTTAGTCTCCTGGGGAAAGTACACAGGTTAAGACAGTTAAGGATTCTGTAAAGGAATTACAGGTAATATGCATTGGACACTTGGAGGAAGGAGTAGTTATTTCTGATGAGTATTAAGGCAGCCTACATGAAGAAAGCAATATTTGAACTCAGCCTTGAAAGATGCATAGGATATGAAAAACAGGATAATAATATACTTTCCCTTATGAGGCCAAGAGAACCGGATAAGGGCGTCAATGAGTCAGGGACCCGAAAAGCTCAGGGCAGGCAGTTTGCCTGGTCTGGATGGAGCGGAGAGTTGTGGAGGTTATAATAAAAAATAAGGTTAGCCGAAACCGGTTTGGCTCAATGGATAGAGCGTCGGCTTGGGGACTGAAAGGTCCCGGGTTCGATTCCGGTCAAGGGCGTGCACCTTGGTTGCGGGCATATCCCCAGTAGGGGGTGTGCAAGAGGCAGCCAATCGATGACTCTCTCTCATTGATGTTTCTGACTCTCTATCTCTCTCCCTTCCTCTTTGTACAAAAATCAATAAAATATATTAAAAAAAAAATAAGGTTAGCATCCTGGCCGGTGTGGCTCAGTTGGGTATTATCTCGTGCACCCGAAGGTTGCCAGTTTGATTCTCAGTCAGGATACATTGCCTGGGTTGTGGGCTCCATCTCCGTAGCGGGTGTTCAGGAGGCAACTGATGGACGTTTTGCTCTCACATTCATGTTTCTCTCTCCCTCTCTTTCTAAAAATCAATAAGAAATACATATTTTTTAAAATGGGGTTAGCAGACCTTCCATGCTATTTTGGAAAAAGAAAAATCAGCGCCATATTTTGGTTAGTACCCAGTTTCGACAAGGGTAGGATTTTGCTCAGAACAGGATACAGTAATTCTAATAATGCTAAAGGCTCTTCCTAAATTTCAGTAAACGAGACTGTTATCCTGGCCCTCACCTGGAAAGAAGAGTGGCTGGTGCATGGTTGGCACACTGGGTGTTAACTCAGAATCAGTGAGCAAGTTTAGCTTTGGAGAGGAAGAGGTGGCTCAGTATCAGTACTAGACTGCGGTCCTTAAATTCCAATTCCTACGGTATTGCAATTGCTTTCCCTCTACTCTGTCCAAAAAATGGTTGGTTCTGGGCCATGTGCCTGACAACAACATGCTTCACTAAAACACACATATACCACGCACACATGATAGTTCTGTGCTATGTCCTCTTTTCTTCTTCTGCTTCTTAACTCTAGTAGTTGGAGTTTGACATCAGATTTCATGTATATCAACATGCTCTGGGCAGGGAGTGATCGAGGCTGGTCCCGTACCCTGAGTGCAGAACCTGAGGAGGAACCCTGTTTTTCAGAAAGTTCTATGCACCGGATCTGGGTCCTTGCTAAGTTCTGGTTTGATAGCACTTGGAGGTGGTTTTCTCTGAGGCTACCTCTCCAGATACTTTTTGGATTGCTAATAATCCCTTAAAATTCCCTTAGTAGAGCTTGTATTTAAATGACCTTCTATAGTTTCCCCCCCTCCTTTTTTTTTCTTTTCTTACTTGTACTGACAACATGAAGCTAGAGCTCCAGCTAGCAGGAAAGAACCAGCTCACTTTTGATAAGGAAAGCAGTCATGGCAACAGCACTTGAAGCTGATTAATTATGCAAGTCCTTGGGAAAACAGGCTGGCTCCCAAGGAAGCAACTCTCAGCTCATTAAGAAATAAGATGTGTGCCTATTAACCAGGGAAGCTCCACACAGAAATTTTTCATACCATGTTTTGAGTTGAGAAACCTTTTCTCGCCCCCTCCCCCCCATCAGAAATCCATCCTTCAAAGAAACCTAGTGTGATTCGATCGACACCAACTCTACAAACGCCAACTACCAAGCGGATGCTCACCACCCCGAATCACACGACTCTGAGCATTTTGGGGAAAAGGAACTACAGTCATCACAATGGGCTGGGCGGTAAGTAAGCCCACAAATGCAGGGGCTGTTCTGATATGCCAGGCCCGTGGCCACTGGTAGGCACCCTCTGCCCCAGTTTAGAACGTATCACTGCAAGTGTGGTGAGGGGAATAAGAGGGAAGGTGGCCGTGTGCCATGGCGAAGACGTTTGCCAGGTGATATTCTTCCCCTTCAGGAGGGACATTTCTGCTCCCATTTCCTCTTCGGAGGCTTGCTCGGAGATGGAGTGTGTATTTAGCAGGCTGCCTCTGCTGGGTAATAAGGTTCTTGCTGGGATGCGCACTCACTGCTCATTTCTATTTCCGTGAGCAGAAGGGATGATTTCGCCTTCTGTCTGAGACAGCAGTGCTCTCTGGGGTTCTTCAGCCTTCTGCGGGCTGTTCTGAATTTGACATTTGTCCCCTACTTCTTTCATCTAATAATTGTTTTTAATTGCTCAAGAGTACTGTAAGTCACGGACAGAATTGCCCGAGTGTTGCCCTAAATGCAGAAATAACAATTTGTTTCTAATGGAAAAACAGAACTATCACCTCTTATTCATTACTTCTCTTGGGCTTTGGCCATCTGATTTCAGGTGGAATTGAGTTATGTTCCCAATGGAACTATAAAGCATCCAGGCAATATGCAGTGTTCATTTCAATAGTCCTGGAGTTTGAAACGGTCTTGATTGTTTAAATGTTGGCATTTATTTGTGAATTAAACCCTTTCCAGGCTTTTCATGTCCTATGGAGCACTAAATTCCTTCAGTGACTGAATTTTTTTATAATGAGGCCTTAGATCAAGGTGCAACATTGACCTTCTAGTAATAATTTTGCATGGTGTTCTTTTTTCCCCCCAGAATGACTTTTGGTGGTCATAATGATGTCAAAATGAATAAAAATTTGAGGGTGAGGAGTTTAGTTTGCATTTGAAGGCTTATCAATGGTTGTAGATATGGCTTTCAAGAATTAAGCTACATAGTAATCTGGCAGAAACAACTTCCTCGCTAATGAGAGCACTGGCCATCATTGTCACGATATGCCTAATGTCTAAACACCACAAGACGGGGGAATGATTATGTCAAAATGTGGAGATGGGATTTCTTTCCAGCTTTTCCTTGCCCACAGTCTGGGGCCCTTGCATTCAGGCTTAAATGGAATCAGGAATCTTTCTTTTCCATCTCATCACTTCCCTAGCCTCTCTAGGCTTATAGTCTCACTGCAGAAAGCAAAAAGTAAGTTCTGGTTATTTGACATATATGTATCAAATGAATGTATATACCTGTACACATATTTTCTTTATGGAGAAAGGTATATTTTCCACTCACACCCCTTGGTCATGGTCATTTGGGTCCCAGTCCTGCATTGCAATTCCTATTGCTCTTTCCTTGTATCATGGGTAACTGTCTCTTTGGGAATTCTAAAAAAAAACAAAAACAAAAAAAAAAACAAAAAAAAAAACACTACTTGTAGTGTTATCTCTCTATGGCTGTTTGTCCCTTTTCCTTCTGAATGAATGCTGCTACAAGGTCATTGTTTCTCTGAACAGGAGGAATGGACAGGGCATATAATGAATCCCTGGCGTTATGTTGACTGAGACCTTCAGCCTCATTGAGGAAGAGATACCTCAATGCTTCATTTTCTGAGAGACCCAGCTATTGAAACCCTTTTTTCTTTAAGATCCATTTGTCTTTGCTCTCCTGTCATGGTACGGAGAGAAAGGCTGGTGACCTGCTGTACCTGTGCGCTCTCATTTGGTTCACACAACAGAAGGCGCAGGTCAGGGAATTTTACTGTTTTGTATAACATTTAGCTCTGTCTGCCTACTGGTGTGACAGGGAACCTGGTGGCTAAGGAGAAATGTGTCTGCAGAGTCCCAGCCCCAGCATCACTGCTGCCTAGCACACTGCCTGGAACTTAGCAGGTGCTCATTGCTAATTGAACAGAAGTGAGTTGAGACGGATGGGTGTGGTGCTAAGAGACGAGTGTAGCAGAAATACACATTTTGGAAAATGTCCCCATTTTTGTATTTCCAGTGGACCTTTTTCTTGGGATAATGCGTCTGTTTCTCATTTCTTTGGGATATGGAATGCTGACTAACCTGAATTTACCAGGCGACCTCAAAATACCCAGAACAAATGTTAGGCTAACAGTGAGTTTTCATGGGATAGTTGATGCTGTCATATGCTAGAATTGATAGATACGAACTCCTGGGGAAGCCAGGTCCCTGTGTGATCCAATAATAAAATCAATTAGCATTGCTACTTAATTATCAGCAAGTCAAAACAGGATTTTGATGGACAGAACTAATTTAAGGAAATGAAACCTGACTGTACTAAAATATCCAGGACTCTCTGCCGCAGGGCTTCCTGGCCCTTTCTCAGGGGCTTGCCTCCTTTGCTCACCCTCTGTCTTTCGGTGGAGGTTCTAGATGATGGGAAGAGTCTGCATTTCTGTTGGCAGAAAGGGTTTACCTGACATTTTAAAAGAAAATGATGTTCAGCGTCTCATTGTCTTCCTGAAACGCACTGTCTCCCATCTGCCCTGGCCCAGCCCTTTCAAGGCCCTGGTGTGACGGGTGACTGGGAGCCAGCACTCTGGGTGCCCTACAAGCTTACCCATGGCACCGGGCACACGCAGACTCTGTGCCTGCCCTCACAGACTTCAGTTCTGATGGTGAAGACAAAATCTGCACGAATAAGATGCCCCTTTCTGGGGGTCAGTAATGATAAAAAAAAAAGAGTGACGTTTTAAAATACAGACGTACCTAGTATCTTGTCAGTCCCCTACACTTCAGTGTCCCCTCTGCCCTCTCCCCCTCTCCCCACTTCCCAGCCGTTGGTCCAGTGGCGTGCCACACACAGTCACCGTGCTTTCCAAATCCTGCCCCTCCTTTTCAGACTTACAGAAGCTTTGGTGACATTTTTATTGCCAGCAAACCAACCCACCTGGCCCACTTGGTCAACTCCAAGTGGCTGTGAGTAGACAAGATCCTGAGAGCAGGATGGAGGAGAGCCTTTCTGTGCCCAGGAGCCCAGAGAAAGGGCAGCAGTGGGAGGGAGGCAGTGCCCGGACATCCGAGTGTTTGCAGTCAGATGGGACTCATTGCTGACATCTCTGTTTCCTGTGTGGACTTGGATGAATCACTTGGTTCCTTTAAACCTGTTTTTTGCCTCCGTGATGCACAGAATTTGTTTGCCTTAGGGAAGTTGTTACAATGATGAAAAATTCTTCATTTACTTTATATGACTAGATTTTGTAAACACTTTATGAGCTAAGTGTTATAACCTGCATTTTATTATTTTGTTTGTTATCTTATTTTTTGAAATATATTTATATTGATTTCAAAGAGGAAGGGAGAAGGAGAGAGAGATAGAAACATCAAGGATGAAAGAGAATCACTGATCAGCTGCCTCCTTCACACCCCACACTGGGGATCGAGCCCGCAAACTGGGTTTGTTCCCTGGACTGGAACTGAACCCAAGACCACACTCTATCCACTGAGCCAAACCAGTTAGGTCTATTAGTTACTTTAAATTTAAAAAAAATTTTTTTTTATTATACTAGTGATTAGACATTTAAGCCTAACTTGTGAAGTAATCACCCTTATAGGTCTAGTACCTATCTGGAACTGGCATTTTAATCATGAAAAAAACTGAAAAAGGCTCAGAGAAGTTAAGGGATTTGCCCAAAGTCACACGGCTAGCCAGTAGCAGGGAGGAGATTGAGACTTCAAGGTGGTGTTGTTTTCCTTGGCCCAATAAGGACCCAGATTGGTGTGTTGAGCGCAGCATGTACCTGGGAGGTGTTTAGTTTTCTGTGTGTAGGAGATGGGTGTGTTTGTAAATATAGAGAGGAATATAGAGGGTGTTTTTCTTTGTTCAGATTATGAAGTATAAGCCATCATCCTATATAATAAAAAGCTAATATGCAAGTTGACCGAATGGTGGAATGACCGGTTTCTATGACTTGCACTGACCACCAGGGAGCAGACGCTCAACACAGAAGCTGCCCCCTGGTGGTTAGTGTGCTTCCACTGGAGGAGCACTGCTCAGCCAGAAGAGACAGTGCTAAGGATGTCCGACTGCTGGCTTAGGCCCACTTCCCATGCAAGTTGCATCCCCCGAGGGCTCCCTGGTGGCTCAGGCTGGGCTGAGACAGCCCCCCTCCCCACACTGCCCACACTGCAACTGCATGAATTTTTTGCACCAGGCTTCTAGTTGTTCAGTAAAAGCCTTCACCTTCTTTTCCTGCCTCCCTGAAACTCCTCTGCCCATATTATGCCTTCTTTTTTTTTTTTTTTTTTTTTTTTTTTAACTTAGGGCATAGAAGCTATATTAGTTTCAGAGAAAGGAAAGAAAAAAGAGAAAATTCACAGAATCACCTTTAGGTAAAATGTGTTTAAACTAAAGTATATGCTATTCCCAGCACTGACTCTAATTTGTAGTAGATGCGAAGTGTTAATATTCCATCCCCTCCTTTAAAGGATAACTGTTATTATTTTAGAAATTTTAGGATATCAACCAAAGTTTTTTATAGTTGTATGTGGATTGTATATAAATAAAATGTCAATTCTTTCCTTATAACTACATTGCTTTCCTTCCCTCAGAGTATGGTTCTCAAAAATGACGCATGCGCTTGCTTGAAGGTAAATGGTTGCACATCAGAGGAGGCCAGCATCCATAAAGATAAATTGCCCTTGATTAAGTTATTCAGAGGCTCATTGAAGACTGGGAATTAGGATTATAGAGAAGACTCACTTAGCTTCCTACAGGCCCCTGTAATTAGAGACCCTGCAGCAGAGGGGGTGGGACATCATGATCCTGAGACAGTGGAATCTTTTTCAGAGTGAAGGCTGAGTCAGGAAAAAAAACAAAACAAAACAAAAAACCAAAGTGGAGAGGGACAGATGAGCTGTACAGACATCTCATCCTCTCCTCACCCACTAAGAAGATGTCCTTGATTGCCCCCTGCTGTCAGATGCTTGAGTTGTGGTCAGTCAGCAGATCTTTCATTCTGCTG